AAAAGGTGCCGTTGCCTGCGTTGAGAAGAACACTGACGGTGTACGAACCCTGGTTTGCAACAATAATATCGGATTTATTGTCACCATTCACATCGACGACTGCTACTGAATATGCACTACTACCAACTGAGTAAGTAGTTTGATTAAGAAACGTGCTGCAGCCTATTAAATACAAAAGGTTTGTTCTTACATCTGTACTGCCATGTAGACAGTATTCACTCGTCGTATTTTATTCAATCTTTGAAAGTTTAACTTAACTGAACATAATTTATTCGAAAAGATCATGTGACTGGATTTTGGGCAATTTCAAATATTCTAGAGCACAATTAAAGTCAATTTTTGGCGATTCTGTCCATCTCTACGTGAAATCGTCTTGTAAATTTGAGAAATTCATGAACTCATCTAACTCTACTTAAAACTTGCGCTCTCTTTAATAAAGTTTCATGATATCCTCAACTAAGAGGACTCAGAATACTATCCAAGCAGAACTCAGAATGCCGTACATTTGTTCAGAATTTTATTTCAGCATATATATCATTCCTTTTTTTTGAATGCATTATAATATAGAATTTATAGACAATAAGATAAGTCTGTGTCACATAAACCAACAATATTTCTACAAAATTCTAAGTTTTGCTTTCCGAGTATTTTACAGTTATCTGTGCACCCACACGCTATTCTCGTTCTCGTCGAGAACAGCTCAACAAAAATAAGTTATCAGTTTGCATTATTGCTGGTCTGTTTTTCAGTGTTTGGCATAGGTATTCACGGAGTTATATCAGAGTCTAATAATGTTGTACCATTAAACCAAACTAAGCATTATACGTTTTATTTATTGTAAGTTGTATTCTCCCATAATTACTCTACAAATGGATGTACTTTTTAGCTTCAACTACTGTTCTCTCGTGACTTTATACAAGCAAAACAAGACTCTACCAATGCTGATTATGGAAGAACATAAGTCACAATCAATAAACCTTCTAGTGCTTAGCCTGGTTTATTAGCACAGCATTTAATAAACTCCATGCAGCCCCCGACTGATTGGTTAAAAACCATTCCGAGGGAGAAAATGAAAGACGCAGGTAGACAAGATTAAATACGGGCCGGCGAGGAGTAACCAAAGAAAAGGCAATAAGAGTAAGGTTTAGTTCGTGCTGGTAAAATCCCTGTTATGCTGTTATACTCTAGCGCTATTTTACTATTGAAAGTCTTTTCTAAAAAAGTAATCGTCAGTGACACGCCCAAATCAACGTCGATTTTTCTTCCCATCGGCTTTCACAGCGGAAGTCTGTACTAACAACACAATGACCATACTTTGTTATGTGTAGATATGATACTCCTATGAGAAACAACTGATCTAATCTCCAGACGAATATTATTTGTTCATCGAAGTGATAAACATTTGAACGGTAAAATCTCAAACGTTTTTGGTTAGTGGAACTAAGTACTGGTTTGGCAGCTACAAACAGGTATAACACATTATCTAGCACATTACTGACCGACTGTAGTTGCTGTTGTTGTTGTTGTTGATGTTGTTGATGTTCCTGATGTTGCTGTTGTTGTTGATGTTGTTGATGTTGTTGATGTTGTTGATGTTGTTG